GTCGAGCAGGGCAGCGTGGAACTGCAGTCAGACACAGGGAGGGGAAGACAAACTTGACCCAAGACGTGGAATCAAGAACCACGAGGGTAAGGAAGAAGCTTGATAAAGCGGGCCAATATTAAAAACCTAGCCTAAACTTATTATGCACAAAAATACATGTATTTATTACAAAGACAATAAGAACATATAAGGGCCTAATGAAAGCCTCGTTACAAAGCGCAAGTGACCTGAAACACAAGGGCCAATACAAGTCAGGTATTGGGCTTATTTCTTACCAGGGTGAAATTGCTGCAGTATAAATAAATAAATAAATAAATAAAATGAAGCTAGCTATGGACCTTACTTTGCTTTGCTTTTCCAGAATCATCTTAGGATAGTAGAATCTTGAGCAAAGTCCTTCTCCTTGTAAGGGAGAAATCTCTCTCTATAATAATTCTGTTTTGGTGTGAATGCTCCACATAGTCCCACAGCCTTTGGCTCCCTCAGCTGCCACTCTGAAGATCTACCAATCTGCAATCTGCAGATCTACCAATCTGAAGATCTACCTGGCTGCATTGCCTCCCTGCATTGCCTCAGCCCCGCCCACAGAGCCGGCAGCCAGCATCTCGCCCTCAGTCTGGAGGGAGCTAGCAAAGGGGAGGGACGCTCCACCGAGAGAGTGGCAACCACTCCACAGCGGAGAAGGAGACAGACCTAGTGAGCGGCGGCAAGCAGGGGAAGCACTCACCTTTGCTGCCCCTCACTGCCCTTCTCTGTTGGCCGTAAGGCCGGCGCTTCATCAGGGTGATAGCTCAGCGGGCTGCACTGCAGAGAATGCTGCCCAGCGCCTTTCAAAGGCTCCCCTGCCTTCCTTCAGCAGCAGCGGAAGCGCCCGAGAGGGTCTGGCCTAGAGGAAACTAGCTGTGGCTCCTGGAAAGCCAGACTCTCTCCTGAGGAAGACACTTCTCTTGGCTCCTGTGTGGGACTAACTGTGACTAACTGTCCCCTCAGTGGCTGTTGGTAGGCAACCAAGCTTGCTTCTGTCAGTACAAATACAAAGGACTTTCAGCATAACCCCCTCCTCTGCCCACTGCCAGCTTGGCCTTTTTCTCAAGCAGATAAACTTTAAATGGCTCTCTCTCCTTTTTGGCTCCACCATGGCTGGCTGGCTAATTCTCTTCAACCCCCTGCTGTGCAGCTGTGCAGCTGTGCAGCTGACTTTCCCCTAGGGTTGCTAATATCCTGGTGGAACCTGGAGAGCTCACGCTGTTACAATTGATCTCCAGATGACAGAGATCAGTTCCCCTGGAGTAAATGGCTGCTTTGGAGGACCTATGCTTTGGAGGACCTATGGCATTATACCCTGCTGAGTCCTTCTATCCCCCCCACTGCTGCCCTCCACAGGATCCACCCCCCAAATCTTCTGGTATTTCCCTAATCAGAGCTGGCAACTGTACTTTCTCCTCAGTGCCTGTTGCTAGGCAACCAGGCTTTGTCAATAAAAGGCCCTTTCCACACCTATTTGGGCCTTGGGGAGAAAACTCATTGGGGCCAGTCCTGATAGGCTTGCCAACTCCAGGTGGGAAATTCTTGGAGATTTGAGGGATGGCGCCTGGAGAGGGTGAGGTTTGAGGAGGGGTGGGACCTCAGACAGGTACAATGTCATAGACTCCACCCTCCAACCCAGCCATTCCCTCATGCGGAACCATTGTTGCCAATCTCCAGGTGGGGGCTGGAGATCACTCAGAGTTACAACTGCTCTCTAGGAGGGAGGGGGAGGAGAGGGAAAGCTGAAGCCAGGGGGCAGATAACAGTAAGTTGATGGTTAACTGGGAGGGAGATAGGGTTGCCAACTCCAGGTTGGGATATTCCTGGAGATTTGAGGGGTGCAGCCTGGAGAGGCTGAGGTTTGAGAAGGGGTCGGACCTCAGACAGGTACAATGCCATAGACTCCACCCTCCAAATCAGCCATTCCCTCATGGAAAATCATTGTTGCCAGTCTCCAGGGGATGGATGGAGATCACGCAGAATTACAACTACTCTTCAGATGGCAGAGATCGGTTCCCCTGGAGAAAATGGTGGACTCTACGTCATTATACCCTGCTGAGGTGCCACAGTGAATTGACGCTGAGTGCCCAAGGCTGGTGGAACCTGGTGGAACCTGGAGAGCCTCTTTCTAGAGCTTGTTGTATTTATTCCCACAATGGGTCTTATTCCTAGTGAGGAAATAAAGACAAGGAGGTGATGCTATCTAATTTGTGAACACAAAGACTTGCCTGATGCTGAGCCAGACCATCCTGTGGTCCATCAAATTCAATATTGTCTTTTCTGACTGGCAGCAGCTCTCCCAGGCCTCAGGCAGAGGTCTTTCCCATCATGTACAACTTGATCCTTCTAACTGGAGATACAGAGGATTAAACTTGGGACCTTCATGACAAGTTCTAGCAGTCAGCCATAGCTTCATTCCCATCCATTACCTCAGTCAAATTATTAAAAAACACTCTATCCTCTTTACAGCTTGTCTTTCCATATTGTTTCTTGCCCTTTTGTATACTTTTTACCAAAGCCCACCCTTCCTGCCATGATCCTGAAGGACATCTGTGTTGCTGACAGAAACTGAACAAGTCTGAAATGATGAGAGGATTTTTTCTTTACCTTATCCAATCTCGTTCAGGATCAAAGGCTAACGGGGTCACCACCTTGGCACCTACAGGAGCACTTTCAAGGATATCAACTATGTAGGGGGCATTGACGAAAACTGGTGCTTCGTTCACATCTAGTACATTAACTCTCAGGTAAGCAAGAGAGCTTGAATTGTACTGTACCCCTGCCACCAAAGGTTCGGGGTTTGTGGCACTGATGATAAGGTTATGCACCGGTGAAGTTTCAAAATCAAGAACCTATGAAAGTAGGAAGAGAAAAAGATGATGTCATCAATAGATTCCTTGATGGATATCCAGCTTAAGTACAAGGAATAAAGAAGAAGAGATTGGATTTATACCCCGCCCTTTACTACGGAGTCTCAGAGCGAGTTACAATCTCCTCCCCTTCCTCTCCCCACAACAGACACCCTGTGAGGTAGGTGGAGCTGAGAACTGCTCTTGAGAGAACAGCTTTGAGAGAACTGTGGCTTCCCCAAGGTCACCGGGCAGGCTTCATGTGGAGGAGTGGGGAATCAAACCTGGTTCTCCCAGATTAGAGTCTGTGCTCCTAACTACTACACCAAACTGAATCATCTTAACTTCTCAACACAGGTATATGGTAATAGCCTTCCTCGAAAAGTGTTTCTGATTTCCTCTCCCTGGATGAACAGACATGGTCTCTTATCCCTCCAGTGCTTAATTTCTTAACAAATAGGTGCTGGATGTCACATCTCTACTTGCAAGTTTCCTTCCAATCAGTGATAGCGGGAGTGTTTTGTCGTCACTCACTATAGAGAAATTTTTATCCTGTGCCTCTTCAGAGGCATTGGAATTCCTGTATAAACTTCAAAGTGAAGTGCCAGAAACAGCAGTGGAAAACTGAACAGCCAGTAGCAGTCGTTCGAGTATTGGACTAAAATGAGGGAGACCCAAATTCAAATGCCCGCTCAGTCATGAAGTTTGCTCTCTCGCTCTAATCTGTTTCACAGGGCTGTTGTAAAGATAAAATGTATACCACTTTGAGCTTCTTAGAGTGAGGACAGAATATAAATATAATACCTGAATGCTGGCATGACGTAAGTCCTATTTCATTGATTTAGTATGCTCTTCTTTGTCAATCTGTGTCAGCTATTTCCCCTATCTTGAGCGTCAGAGCAGATATTTGGCCTGTCTTACAGTTTTTTGGTTCTGCCCATGGGACACATTCCTTAGGAACTTTTCTTCCTTGCTATGGGGCAAATATTAAACATTTTTATTAATGATCTTCCTTTTCTACCCGAATTATTCACCTTCTTAATTTTAACATATCCTTTGTTTGTCTTTGGATCAGTCTCTATTAAAAAAGTATTGTTTGGATCTCCGCTTGTGAATGTGTATATGATTTGAGAGCTTCCAGTGAATGGCTCATCAGCATCAGTAGCTTGAATTTCCAACAATATAGTTCCAACTGGTTTGTCTTCTGGCAAAGTAAGAGAGCCATACTAGAGAAAGAAGAAATGAAATGCGAAACGTCAGGTGTGGTGTTGTAGAAAGCACAGTGCCTTTGAGTAACAGGTCTATCCAGTGAATCGAGGACTTTGTACATGTTAACTTGTTATCACTAATTGCTTCTGCGAGGGTCAGAGCGAGAGCCAAAGAAGGGCCTGCTTTGATTATTTACAGTAGTAAATTCCTTCTGGACCTTGCACAGTATGCATCTACAACCATGAACTATTTCGGTTTGCAGCCCCCTTTTAAACATAAAAAGCAGTTTTGCATGATCATGAAAAAGGTTCTGGTTTTACCCTGATGATGACACTTAATGCATATTCCCTGCCATTTCACAGATGGAAATAAGGACACTCATACATAGAGCACCTCTTTCTCATATCATATCACATCCTGTTTCCAATTGTACTCGTTTTTGGAGGCTCTACTCGCTGTATTATGGCCAATTCCCATGATGAAAAGCCATTGTGTCTCCCATGAGGACTTGGTATTGTGAGTGTGCCTCCCATGCTTGTGATTGCCATGTTTCGATCAAGACTGCAGTGTGCATGTGGAAGGGGCCTCAGCCCCATGCATTTTTGCAAACTGAAATAGTCCCAGGGAGCTGCTGTTTGCTCTTTGGGGAAACTGACATGAGGTCATCGTGACATGCCAGTTTCCCAATGAAGCAAGTAGCAGCTCCTCAAGGCTGTTTCCATTTGTTAAGGGGTTGATGCATCTTCTCCACGTACACCATAGTCACCCCTGGAATTTGCCCCTGCATACCTGGGAGGCACAGAACTCCTGGTGCCTGGGTAACACAAAGTCCTTCTGATGGCAACAAGTCATTTTATTCCCCGTGTATCAGCACTTTATTTACAGGCTCACTTAAAGGCGCCATTGTGTGAAACCAGAGTTCCACCCAACAGCTGGTTGGCACTGTCCCTTTTGGCAGTACTAATCACCAGTTAGTCGGAATCAGTTTGGGTTCAGATATTGGCTACATGTTTCACTTGCCAGGGGGCTGCCACTGAAAAAGTGCAGCGGGCTCTTGTTTCCAATGGCTTGAATTCTAGGAGTACTTGCCAGATGACCCAGAATTCTCTAGCTGGCTTCAATTGTTTCTCTGTGTGTTAGAGCTCAGAACGAGGCAAGTAAACATGTCTGCCTAATAAAGGCTCCAGTGCTATGTCTGTTTCAGAACTTACTAGTAGAACTGTAAAACTGAACAGATATGTCTAAGAGGATGACACTGCATATTGTCCTGGGAGTTACGGCGAGGAAGAGAAGAGCTTTCCAAAGCAACTCCATTTCTGACAGGCCCCTACAGCACATGTGTCATCCACCCTTTAGTCCCACATTATCAGGAGATTCAGCTATGGGAACCGCCCTCATGCCTCTTTTCTGCATTAACAATTCCTTATCAACTAGATCAGGAATTCCTTATCAGCTAGATCAGCATTAACAATTTCTGATCAACTAGGGCAAAACTTGAGTCCAGTAGACACCTTCAAGACCAACACATTTTCCCAGGGTATAAGCTTTCATGAGTCAAAGCTCACTTTGTCTGATACACAGTTACCCACCTGAAACTATGATCTAGTTGGGAATGTGTGTGCAGAAAGATGCTTCTGCATGCACACCACCCTGAAAAGACTGGGTAAACTTTGCAGGGATCAAGACCTCTGCTCAAGTGTGTGATATTTCTAGGCACTGGGAAAGCAAAGAGAATAAACTGAATACTCACATCTGATTTTTCAAACACGGGGATCTGATCATTGATATCAATGACATGTATTTCCACATTGCACAGTGTTTTGAATGCTGCAGAGAATACAACAGTGTCAAATGCCAGCTGTTCTGGATAGATCATAGATTAGCAAGCATATTGATCCAGCATTTGAAGTATATACAATCAAAACACAACTATAAGGATCAGAGTTTTGATACGGGCTGGAGTCTTTGCTCAGTCATAAAGCTTAGAGCAAAAGTAGATATGATGTTGGAAGATCCATGAACAGATTTCTATGGGTTTTTTTTTTTAAGTTTACCCTATGAGTATCTGTATCATTCCCCCACCCTGAAGTGCAGTAGAAATGACCGAGGTCAGGAATACGGCATGAGGGACAGACTGTTCAGCCTCCTCCTTCCTACATTGGGACTCCATTCTGGATTATATAAAAGAGTCTTGTGGGTCTCATTTGGTCCCTGCCTTGTGCCAGTTACTTACTGCAAGGTCTAACGTAGAACGTTCTTGAGAGGATGGAGCAGAAACTGCCATTTGCTCGCTTGGAGGATGTGGAGGGAACAAATATGATAAATTACCAAATCGGAAATAATGGCTTATCCCCATGTGTCTTTGAAACATTTCAAAGATGATAACACTAAGGAGGTAAAGGAAACAGGCCTGCCCTACACAGACTAGTCTTCCACATGAGGAATTCATGAGGGTTTGTGCAGCCTGTGTACAATGATCTGTTGGGGGAATAATAATTGTACATGTTATATACTGACCTGGATCTGCCACTTCCACCTTCACAGAGTAATTAGAAGCTACCCGTCTGTTTAATTCAGAACTAAATAACTGGAACTTCCCACTTTCCAATTCGATGCGGAACATGTTCCCTGAAGGGATTTGAGGGCTCTGCTCTACAATACGGTACTTCAAGCGAGAATTAAGGGAACCTTCCTCATCTCGGTCTGAAGCCTTCAGAATTCCTATATCATTCCCTGGTGAGGGGTAAGGAAATTTGAAATTCATCAAGTTAGTACCTACATACAATTGAACATAATTTTCTTTAAGTTGCAAAACAACTGAAAATATCCCAGGTGTGAATCTCAAGAAACAAATCGCAGAAAAGAAATTGAACAAAAACAAGGGATCTTAAAGAGCGTTGTTTCTCAAAGCAGGGACCTCAAGGGTACTCCAGGGGTCCACGAGTCCTTTGAGAGGACATAGGGCAGGCCCTGGCACACCCACGCAGCCAGTGTAAAAACTGAGGCCTCTTAAATTTTCTAGGAATTAGGTTAGGGACCCTCCATCTCAGAGGAAAGAGATGGAATTGGATTCCCTGTCTTTTGAAGAGTGTGGTCTCATTATAGAGCTGCAAGATCACTTCAGAGCACTAGCTAGAAACCTTGCTGATTGGTGGCCAGTATCCAGTGTTTGTTTCACCCAAGGAACTCTAATTGGCTGAGTGGCATCATAGTGACTTCAGATATAAAACTGAACTTGTTTTCACTCTATTTTCTAATTAGATAGACACAGTCTCCGGCTTCAGCAGGAGATCTCCCAGCATCTCTTTTTGTTGCTTGATGCCACTTGGGGGGGGGCCGGGGGTGGGGGGATGCCAAAAAAACTGGGATACCTGAACCAGAATACTGTTTTAACCATAGAGTATGATCTGGATCCCAGAGCATCTGCATCACATCAGTGATTGGATGTCACTGCTGGGTATTTGTCAGAAGTGACATCATATCAACAGCACTACATCCTTTCTCTCTTCCCTCTCCTTCTCCCTCTGTTTGCCAGCTAGCAACCCTATTTCCAGTGCATATGATTTTACCAGGAAAGGATAGGTACATCTTGCCTGGGGTGATAATACATCAGCCCTGACTTCAGACTCTAAATTTCAGTTTCCCAGAAGTTTACAATTTGTGTGACGCTGGTCTTTTTCTATGAGCCCTTTTGACACTTTTTCCTGTCCTTTCCCCACTTCCGTTCATGTGATCTCTGACTAGAATATAGTAACCAGTATGGGATTTTCTTGCTATTTCCAGTGCGATCAAGGAGTAAAATAGATTAGAACTTATATGTTTATGTAGAAAATTTTAATGTAATCTCTCTACGGAACCTGCCTGAGGTAACTTACAAAACACAACATAATAAAAAATATAAAATATTAAAAGCTGTTAAAATCCAATATTTTAAAACCCAGCCCAACTTAGGGCAAGGCCTCATAGAATCTTCTAGATTCCTAGAACTGGCCTTGTAGGCCATAGATAGTACAAACATTTTACCTAAAGTTGCTCTTCAGGTGTAGCTGATGTGATTCTCACCGTATTGTTTTAAGAATAGAAGCTTTCATGGGGTATGCATGGTTTTCTGTGCACTATGAAAGACATTCCAGTGCATACTGGGCACCAATGAGGGGGAGGAGGGGAGGTTTGAAGGAAGTCCATGTAAAAAACATTCATAATGGATGGACATGGGTTGCTAAAGTTTGAAAACCACAATTTTAAAGCCACATTTGAGTTTGTAATCATAATGATCTCCCCTGGCCATATTTGAAATCATGGGGGAAAGGCTGTGCAGAGCTTTGGAGGTGGCTGTCATAGATGACACTCATATCAATACATCATTCAGCAATCAGTAGGAGTTACCGTCTTGTTTATGAGCTTGTGTTTGGAAGTGGTCACGGCCAGTTCTACAATGAGGCAGTAGCCAAGGTGGATGATTACGAAGATTGCAGCCTCCACCATGCACCCCCCCTCAGAGCAGCTAACACTCATTCCCCATTGAGTCCTTGGGTACAAATGTTCCTGATACCTCATTAGGCATGCACAACTTGCCCTGCTGTTTTGCCTGGGGAACCAGGAAGAAGGAGTATTATCTACTCTGGAGGGCAGTGAGAGGCTTTGGGGTGGCTGGAGTGGTGAGGGACAGGGATGACGAGAACATCAATCTGCTGAGCTGCCACGGGAGGCTGTGGACAAATGGGTGAGCTGGAAGAAGCTGAAACTGAAAGCATTTCTGACGTGCCTGATGTTAGTGGGGTGGCTAACATGGATAACATGGATGAGTCCAGGGCCAGCACTGCTCCTGAAATGGTTTTGGTGGGAAGAGATGCTTTGTGTCACCTGCATCTGATATGGACTCTGCAGTCTTTTCTGTAAAGGAGAGAATATACTATCCTCATCCACAGCATTGTAGATCTATTATTCAATGCATTTTAGGCAAATAAAGATGACTGTGGAGCATTAGCTAATGCAGAAGGTGGTTGCCCACCAACCGGCATATGTAGGAAGTTGGTTCTCAGAGGCAGACCCAAGTAGGAAAGGTCGCAATAGCCTAACACTAAATACCAAGTGATCGTGCCTTTGTAAATTGGACAAGGATACTAAGAAAAACAGCAACCTTCATTTCAGCTGTCTGAATTCCAAATGCATGCCAAATCACATGCCTGGTGTAAGGCTTTCTTACCTACACCTTCGTTCTCCTGCACTTCAAAAATAGCCAGAGCTTTGTCACACACAGGGGGATTATCGTTAATGTCTTGCACTGTGACACTAACAGCCACTGGGTAGGCCAGCCATTCTCCGTCGTTGTCTTTTGGCCCTACAAAGAATGAATACTGCAATAGAAATGTTACAGTTAGGGGTAATACTGACTTTCTATTTCATGTAATAGCGAGGAAAGCTACACACTCCACCTACCAGCCCAGTTTAGAAATTAGAAAACAGGCTACAATAGTAATGCTAGTAGTAACAGCAGCTGTTGTAATACTCTCCAGACATTGTAGGAATGATTTCTCTTCAGAGCACCTGCACTGTGCTCTTCTGTACACTTACAAAAGCTTTTTCTTCTCTGTCCAGTGGTCGAGTCACATAAATGTTCCCATCTCGGTCAACTGTAAATGGGATTTCAATAGCAGGTTTCTCCTTTTGTAAGATTTCATACTTGGCACCTGGCTCGTTCCACTGCACCTGAATAAAGCATAGTAAAAGTACAGGTTTAAAGCCCGAAGGCTCTGATTTTGATGTGTTGAGATGCCCAGGGCAACACAGAGCATATATGTTTGCTAGGTTTAATGTGTTATCATCAGCAGAATTGTATAGGAGATTCCAAAAAACCTCATTCGACAGTAGATTGTGTTCCTGCTCTAAGCGGGAGATAGAAACTCTTGAACGTGTTTTTTCATGTACTTTTTACTCAGACTTGTGTCTTATGTTTATTGAGTCCTGGTTGAGAAAGTATTCAGAGAAACCTGATAAATGTAAGATTTATTTTTTGCTGACAACCCAGAATCATGTAATAATTGAAACTGTTGCAAAATTTTCATATGAAGCTTCAAGAAGGTGTTCAGTATTCTTTGCAAAGTGAGTCGTATGTTCTGCATGTTATGCCAATAAAGGTTGATTCATTCATTCAGATGCAATATTAACCCCTTTTTATTAATGCTGGGTTATTGGTTTAAGACATAAATGTACAACACAGGTACTTTGTACTTTCTTAGGCAAACCACTCAAGGACCCATGTGGAGCATACACAAAGTGAATTAGATGAAATGGCTCAATGTAGCAACACATGGGAAACTGGAATTTTGAATTTAGGGCTTGTATTTCATCAACCAAGGCAAAGCAAACCCACCTCCTTCTGGGGTCCAGGCAGCAGTAACAAAAGCCCAGGAGGGGATGCCAACCACTTCCCATGCTGCTGCTGCTGCTGGCCCAGAGCTAGCTAAGCCCCCGCAGATGCCTCGGCACCCTCCTCATTGAGCCACCCCAAGCAGGTGCTCGGATGGCTTGGTTGCAGAACCAGTCCTGTTTTCCCATTCACCTTGTTGGCCATGGCAAGATCCTACCTGAGCAATGATGATGGGGTGCGGTTCAGTAGAATTCTCTGTGATCTTTACAGGCGGAGGTGCCTTCCAAAGATTTTCCATGACAGTGACATTCACATCAACGTTAGTCTTGAAAGAATTCACAGACTGTCCTGCCATGTCCTGCACTGAAATGTCCAGGATAAATCTATCCACATCCTGGGGATTTAATTTAAGAGCCCCTGGAAAATATAAGAGAACACATATGGCACAATGCACTTTATTGAACTGGTAGAAGTTTCACAGGAAGAAGGATGCCAGTTACTGGAGAATTGAGTACCATTGATCCACTCCAGATTTTCCTCCTTCTTCCTTTATTTGCTGGTGCAGATACAATGTTGATACCCTGAAAACCACAGTTAGTAATTCAGGACCAGTTTCAAGAACATGCATTCCTTTCCCATTCCTTCTTTCTAGAACAAATTTCTCCTTCCCATTCGTCTTGATGTTAACCATGGCTGAGGGTTACATGTTTGCCAATACTGATCATGGCTAAAGCTAATCAGGGCCCCTTATATTTGCATGATCTGCAAGTATGGGTGGGGCAACAGGGCTCTCTTTCTAGAATCCAGGCTCTAGGGTATTTTTTATATACCCTTACATACTTCATATAAAGAGGAAAGGTTATAGAGTGATCTCTGAGTGTCGTTGCCCCCAGTGGATGCCCTGGTCTGCATGCCCACTTCAATCCACAGTTTCTTACTATAGTTTTGGAGGGGACCATAAGATGCCTCCACATGGGAGGGGGGGCTTTTGTTCTGGTTCAAAGGGATGTCTGCAAATACAGCCTTCATCTGGAAGCTCTGCCAGCAGGCCACAGCCAAGTCTAGGATGGGACTGAGCTAAGCTCCACATTTATCCTCCCCTTTAAACCCTTTGATGCCCCTCCCCCCACTGAATGGCACTGGTCAGCTGTGAAGAGGAATGTGGCGGGTTGCCAGGGTGTGTGTGTGTAGTTTCCTCAGTGCTTCTGCACCAATGCAAAGGATCGTGGGTGGGAGGGGCGGGGACAATAACCAAGTGTCCCTCCCCACCCACTTCTACCCTCCCCTCTGCTGCTTCCAAAGCAGGGGTGCCTTTCTCCACCCCTGTGTGGAAGCAGCCAATGCTTAAATCACATTAAATCACCGTCCCCCAGCTATCTGTATTATGCCTGCTGTGGTAAAACATAAAACTACCTACAAGTTTCCCACAGAAGGGATAAAAGCAGCTTGGTGGGGGTGATTTTTAGTGGGCTTCAATAGCCCTTCTCTTTCCACTCTGGCCTTCCCCTTCAAACTCCAGCCTCAGCAGTTGCACTACATAATTTTTTTAAAAAAACAAACAAACCTGGCAGAGAACCATGGAACAGAGTCCCACCCTTAGTAGTCTGAGTTTGTTGCTATCAATAGTAGATTTACTTACCAGTGGGGGTTGTAGAAATTGCTCCTGTGACATTGTCAATCTGAAAAAGCATCTCAGGGTAAGGGTTGGGGAAATGATGATGGATTCTGTAGGTCAGCTGTGCATGTGGGGTGCTGGGGTCATCACGATCATGAGCAGTGACATACATGAAGGGCTTTCCTGTTTGGGTTGAAAGACATCGTAAGAGGATGGAACAGAAAGATTTCATCATTCAAAGGGCCTGTGGGAGTGATGGGTGGTTTCCTGGTTTAAGCATAGCCAATCACTCTTTCCAGAATGACAGCAGCAACCCAAAGGGCCAGTCTTGATGGGGAATCAGGAAATATGTGGATACATTCAAGTAAAAAGACAGGGAATAGGAATACATGGACAATTTTCACGATGGAGGGGATTTGTTTGCCTCCTATCATCATCCTCATCCTCATTTATTACAATTGAAAGATCAACCAACAGACACATAATGGAAACACCAATGAAACTTCAGTTCTCCTTAACTCATCCACATTGTTATGGTCTCTCACAGCAGTGGAAAGTATCACAGCTTACTGTAGTGGTGGAAAGTGCTGTCAGGTCACAGCTGATTTATGGTGACCCCACAGGGTTTTCCAGGCAAGAGATGTCCAGAGGTGGTTTGCCATTGCCTGCTTCTCTATAGTGACCCTGGACTTCCTTGGTGGTCTCCCGCTCAAGTATTAACCAGGGCATCAGTATTAACTGATGAGATCAGTCTGGCCTCTGTCATCCAAGTGAGGGCCACAGTTTAATAATCCTGGTTTAATATTACATTGTTGTCCAACCTGGAACTCTAAACAATGCAAGGTAATCCTGGCCCCAGTCACACGGGCAGGAAAATGCAGGGGGGGGAGCGTGGCTGTTTGCCCCGGAGCAAAATAACCTGCAGTTGCGCGATCAGATGTCCCGTAGAGGTCCCGTCAAGGTCCTGTGGTTAGGGGGGAGGTGCCAATCACAGGACAATCCTGCGGTGTGGCAAAGAAGCGGCCTCTCTAGCAAAAGGCTCCGCGGGTTTAACCCCTTCCAGGGCTGCAGAGGAATGCAAAGTGTGTCCTCCATCCGGTCCCCTCCAGGAGGAGCTTCAGCCGGGCCGCCCTCCTGCCACGCCCCCTGCACCTCCCCCTCTGCCGCCCGGTGGAGAGAGTTCCTCTCGAGCAGGCCAAGCCAGGAGTGGGGGGGTATGGAAAAGAGGAGGGGGCTGTGTTTGTTTTTAAATGAAGTGTGCATATGCGCCATTGGGTGCTTGTGCGCATCCCATGGAGACTTGGGGGGGAAAACCTTTTAGCGACGGGACATGGGCGGTCGCCGGATGCCACGACCTACCACTGGAAACACGATCAGGCACCCGCCTTTGCCCCACGGTTTCCAGAAACTAGTACCTCAGAGGTACTAGTTTTTTTACCCCGCATCTTCGGCGGGAAGCCTCGGTTTCACCACGGGCGCTCTACGCTTCCCAGATGTGGCGCTGTGATCGCGCCCGGAAAATCCGCCTATCTTCCATCTCTGTAGCATGGCTAATGCTCCGTGTGACCACAGCCCCTGAATGCTAAAGTACATATGGAAATAAATACCTGGGCGGGAGTTTTGCCTTACTACTCCATAGTATGCATTTTGATCAAATTGGGGCGGATTGTCATTGATGTCTTCAACATTTATAGTGATTGAATATGGGCCTTTCACTTTCACACCATTTGCATCCAGACCTTCCACCTAAGTTGAGGAAGAGAAAGAAATGATTGAAGCAAAGTCAGTTCATTGTGTCCTTCATGCATGCATTAAGGTAGAACTGTAACTTACAATGAATATGGAAATGTGGTTGTGCAGTTCTTCAGCCTTACTACATCTCACTGGCTGCAGCTAATGTGGGCAAGGACAAGCACAAAGTGATGACATCACAATAATCCATATCTATGTTCCTACATGGTAAGAAGCAGGGAACTCAACAGCAGTGTTTAGAACACTGGGCTGAGAATTGAGGCACCCAAAGTCAAATACCCCCAGCAATGAAATTTATGGGTGTGCCATAGCATCTGATTGTTTTGATGTGCAACCTATACTTTGGACTGGAAGTCACTGCTAGGACAGAATATAGAGAAACAGAATGTTTTCCAGTTGGTGAAGGTGTCAGATAAGGATGCATTTTATCTCCCTGTCTCTTCAATCTGTATGTAGAACATATCAGAAGGAAAACTGGATTAGATTTAGATGAAGGTCAAGTGAAAACTGGTGGAAGGAACATGAACGATTGCAGAGGACACCACATTACTAAGATATGCAGATGACACCACATTATTGGCAGAAAACAGTGAAGACCTGAAATGACTACTGATAAAGGTGAAAGCAGAGAGTGCCAAAGCAGGCGGATTACACCTGAACATCAAGAAGTCAAAAGTAGTAACCGAACTTTATGGTTGATGATGAAGAAACTGAAATCATTCAAGATTTTCTATTCCTTGACTTCATCTTCAACCAAAAAGGGAGAGTGCACCCAAGAAATCAGAAGGAGAATGAGACTGGGAAGGGCAGCCATGAAGGAGCTAGAAAAGATCCTTAAGTGTAAGGATGTGTCACTGGCGACCAAGATCCAGTTAATTCGTGCTATAGTATTCCCCATTACTATGTTATGCGTGTGAAAGTTGGACAATGAAGAAAGTTGATTCATTTGAAATGTGGTGTTGAAGAAGAGTTTTATGGATACAGTGGACCACCAAAAAGACAAATAAGTGGGTTCTAGATCAAATCAAGCCTGAACTCTCCCTAGAAGCTAAAATGACTAAACTGAGGCTATTGTATTTCAATCACATTATGAGAAGATTAAAAATAACTGGAAAAGACAATAATGGTAGGAAAGTTGAAGGCAGCAGGAAAAAAGGAAGACCCAATATGAGATGGATGGCCTCAATCTAGGAGGCCATGGCCCTCAGTTTGCAAAACCTGAAAGTGGCTTTTAAGGACGTTTTGGAGGACATTCATTCATAGGGTCGCCATAATTCGTATGCGACTTGGTAGCTCTTAATACATTACACATGAAATGTATGGCATGGCCTTGGGCCTGGTCTATCTCTCAGCCAGAGAATAGGATGGCAGGGGAGGGGGTGTACATATCAACATGAGCTTGTTAGAATAATTGTGAGCTCTCAAACTGCAAAAGAAAAACAACAACAACACACATTTGTTCATATATTATTTCTTTTTTCCTTCTTTTCTCTGTACTGATACTTGATAAATGACTGATTAAGAATATAATCTGTAGTTATTGTCTTAACTGATTAGTGAAAGTTAGAAGTAATGGTTGGTTTATTTGAAGCAATATGGGTTGGATATTTGTAATGTTCTAACTGATGGTTGATAAAAATTATAGGGTAGTTTAGACTCCTAAAGTGGGCCTTGTATATGGAGAAAATATCAATTACTACGTTTAGGTTTGCAAACAAAGGGGATTTTGAACGCTAACAATGCTAAAAATATGAAAGAATATCTTAAAGGGACTAGATTGATATTATAGAAGAAATTTGAACTAACTGCTGTGAAATACCTGTGGTTTTTTTTTCTTTTATATTTTTATTGTTATAAAATTGATTAATAATAGTAATAGCAGATAGGATATAGAAAAAAATGAATTGTTTATTGGGAACAGAATTTTACTTAGTGACATCTGTTGTGGACTATAGATTAACAAAGGGGAAAAGGGAATTATGTATCTAAAGATGTTATGAACGAGGCAATGGCTGGATACTTTTGAAGTGTATGGCTCTCTCTTTTTGTTTTATATAACTCTTTAAAAACTAATAAACCTTGCCCATCAACAATGGGCAAGCAGGGGGGGAAAAGAATAATAGTGGGATCAATTAAAGAAATAAAACAAGGGGTACTGGTTTTGTGGTCTAAAGGCACCCACTGAAAGTTCAATCTTTTGAAAATAAAAATCTTTAAGTAAGATTATATAGAAACAGAATAAGGGTTGAGTGTACCATGAAACGTTTGGGATAAGCTTGTTAGATGTTTGATCCATCAACACATATTTCAGCATTTTATTTTTACCTACGCTGAAAATCTGCATAATAAAGAGTGCTGTTTGGGCTAAGCAAGTTTAGTAATGGAAGCTCGATGTGCAGGTGTCAACAGGAAACATATGAAGAAGTTTTAAAAGTGCATAACATAACAAGTTTGGAAGTTAGGTCACTCATCTTATTGCAAGCCATATCTTATGTGTACATGGGACATTTGTGGACTTTTAATACCCAAAGCAATAACTGAAAAAGCGTTATCTGGAGATAATCCAATATACTCTTTGAGGTTTTGATATAGGCACACCAGTTTAGGCCTGTCTCCACTCACACTGATGTGGATCTTCTGAGCTGCCTTAGCTCTAGGATGGGGCACTTTATCACTATCTCAGGGCCATAGCCAGGATGAGGCCAGGTGATGCACTTATCCATCTGAAGTACTGGTTCAACCCACTGGTTCAACTCATGAGCATAGTGCCCATGTACAGAGAAAGTGTCTGTGCATACATGCCATCCCTGTGATTGGCAAGATTCAGGAAGGAACAGGGGGAAGACATATGTATGGACACATTCTTTGTGTGTTCCTGCCAAGCAGACACAAAGGAAATGGATGGGGCCAGTGTACTTGTGCCCATTGTCCCTCCCCATGCATTCAGTCAACGCATGGAGGAATCTTGTGTAGAGGGTTTTATGGAAAACCAGAGGGAGCCAATGGCCATCGACAGGATCATGAAGAACCTGGAAGAATGCTTCAAGGGATAAGTCTCTCTGGTCCTTTCCGCACTGGACAAAACCTTTGTCAGGGCTGATTCTGGGTTTTGAGGGGCCCTGAGCAGAAAGTGCCCAAAGGCCTTCATCTGCCCACCACCAGCCCCCCATGCCTTCCCACACACCCCACAAACTTATGTGCCCCCCACCTTCTCTCACTCATCATAAGCCCTTCCACTGCCCATGCTCAGTTGCCTGCACCACCTGCACACCCTTTCCCCAAAAGCACTGGCTGGTGCATGCAGCTAGGACTGCTGCTGCCGTGGCCACCAATAGCATTGCCTCTTTGCACCATGAGCCTGTCCCTAGAGATGCTGGACAGCTGGCAGCATGGGTGGCAGAGCACCTCAAGCAAACAGATGGGGAAGGGCATGCAGACAGGTGGCAGAAAGTGTGTGTGGAGGGTCAGCAGCATTGGGTCCCTCCCAGCAGGGGTCTCAGGCCCTGGCAGCTGCCCCACCTCAGGATATACTGATGCCAGCCCTGAAGTGAACAGTGGTGATGAACAGAAGGAAACAGAACAAGATACCACAGTAGATTTTTCTTCCTTAGGATCCTACTGTTTTCCCATCCTCCCATATTCTATGAGAGGAATCTCAGTTTCCGCATGCTGACATTGAGTCAGTCATTCTTCTTCTCAAATGGGATGGCATCGGGATCAAACTCATTAACTTTGGGTGACGGTTGAAGAATCACGGCCTGCTCCATTAAGTAGTGTTGCCAAAATGGGCTCTAGTTGCCGTTCCCTTTCACTATTGATGGTATTAGAGGGCAAAATAACCTGATTCATATATTTGCTTTACCTGTAACTTGTAAACATTCTTTGTTTCCCAGTCTAGAGATCCATTCAGATACAGAATTCCATCCTTTGGGGAAATGTCTATGATGCCTTCTTTTTCACCCGTCAGTCTCAAACTGGCAACAGGAGGCTCAAATGTAAACTAGTAAATCGGAAAAAAGAGAAATCAGAATCCCAGAGCTTTTTTTTTTTTAAGCTTTCTTTGGTTTTCTTTTTCCTCCTTTGGACAATATTCCATTTCAGAAACAGTTTTCAGGCTTCTCTGATCATTTTCACATTTTTTTCAAACGAAAGCAAATGTTTGCAACATGAAATTACCCGATATAAATATTGCACTCCTGGTCTGTTTTCTTCTTGAACAGAAAAAGTACTGTCCTGTAAAGGCCCACTTAGATTTTGGCAAACAATCTGTGGAAAAGAGTAGAAGGGAAATATATTATTATTATTGTTGTTGTTGTTGTTGTTTTCTGTATTAATTAACAGTAATGAAACATTGGCCTGTCAGCGCAGAATAATTATAACTCATTGTGGGTTGTAGCAGCAGCAAGATGCATTAACATTCTTAGTCGGAGACTGGAACAAGAGAAAGAAATTAGTTTCCAAAAGATTCTTCTTTGTGGATTTTTGTTCTGAACGTTCCCCAGATGTTTTTTGGTCAAATATTATCTGGATATTTATGTATTTAAAACGTTGATTAATTACCTTTCTTCCTTGTGGAACTTAAGGCTGCTTACAAACTTAGATAAAACAGATAAAATAAAATGCATTAAAAATACAAAACCAACGTTAAAAAAAACCCCACTTCTCAGGACAGCTACTAAACTTAACCAAATAAAGTCCTAAACAAAATCATCTTCAACAGTCTTCTAAAGATCAAAAGTGTGGGGCCTAGGTGCATCTCTCTGGGTAGGAGGATCCATAATTGTGGGGCTGCTGCTTCTTTGATTGATGGGACAGCCAAGAAAGCTTCTCCCTCTTGGGTGTCCCATCAACATATGAGAGATTATGGAAGCACAGAAGCTTTACTCAGTATCTCCAGTTCTCCACATTGCCCAGTTAAGGGGAAAATGTTGTTCAAACAAATTACAAAGATGATCTGACTCCAATGGTAACAAGAGAAAGAGATTTTTACTTACAAAAATAGAAACACATCTTATACAACATATTCATTTAAGTACATTTAGTTTACTGTTAACAGATGTAAGTTCAAAAAGGTTAACTTGCTACAGCTCCAAGCCCATGTAAGAGAGAGAAGAGAGGTCCTATATAAGATGAAACAGAAGACAAGCGATGGCCAAAGAGGCGCCACATCTAACTGATGAGAGGGTGAGGCCAATTGTCAAGTGCACCCAATTGAGAGAATCTCTTATCCCTTTCCCTCCCAGATTTTCTTGCATGCAGAGTTACAATATCCAGCACCCTTTATTAATGCCACATGCGAGAATTCTCAAGTTTTGGCTTCTCTTATAGTTTTTCAAATCTGTCTCTTGACAGAGGCTTGGTTAGGATGCCAGCCGCCATGGCTTCTGTTGAACAGTATCCCATCTCTATTATGCCCTTCTCACATATATCACACACTTTGACTGATTTCTCACAAGCCAGTGCTCTGCCCTCGCTCTTCCCTTTACCCCAGTCGTATGTGTCAATTTCCCACTATTTGCCGCACAGCCACATTTTGCCCCGCAGCTTCGCCTGATTTCCCCTGCATCTACTTGATCCTGTTTTTTGAGGATCAAGTAGATGCAGAGGAAATTGGGTGAAGCTGCAGGGCAAAATGCGGCCACGCAGCAAATAGTGGGAAATTGACACATATGATTGGGGTAAAGGGAAGAGTGAGGGCAGAGCAGCAGCTTATGGGAAATCGGTCAAAGTGAAACCTCACACCAATGTGCAGCCATTTTTTCTGACTGAGAAATCTTAATGCAGCTCTGGTTGTCTTCTTTAAGTTGAATTGGCTTTTGCTTATCAACTCTAAAGTCCTTTACTAACTGCTCTAACCACAGCAGTTCTCTGCATGATTCAGCAGATGCTATATATGCAGACTCTGTGGCAGACAAACTTACTGTAGTTTGCTTTCTACCTGGCCCAAGGGATTGGTCTACCTCCATACAGAAACAAGTACCCACTTCTGAATTTCTAGTCTAAACTGTCTCCTGTCCAATCTTTTGGATTACTGGTGGATGGCAATTTCAGTTTCAAATCTAAAGTCCTTTTAGATATCTAGCCACTCGTTTTACTGCAACCCACTCTTTCTTGCTAGGTGCACTTGTTTTCCTGTAACCAATACTGGTTACAATATCAGGTCTGCTAGTGGTACTTAGGTATACAAGTTTTCCTGTGGTGTTTCTGTCCTGATTGTCTTTAGGTAAAGGCTCACTTATTTCAGTGTTCTTAAGAAAGTCAGTTTCCAGTTCAATTATTATCTGTTAGCTTACCTTGATTCATAGATCTTACATTCCAGGTTCCTATGCAGTATTGTTCTTTGCAGCATCGGACTTTCCTTTCACCAGTCTCATCTCCACTGTCTATTAGGCACTCTACCACACTGCTATAGTCCATTTGCCTGTCATAACCCAGAATCATGTCATCAATATACATGAGAATAAATGTACACTGTCTTTGTGTTTAGTATACAGAGATGAGTTCACTTCTCCGTGCTTGAAGCCTTGCGCTACGAACATTTTGTGTCATTTTTCATTCCGTCATGTGCTGCCTGTTTTAGTCCATATAGCCCCATCTGCAGTTTGCAAACTAAATTTGGTTGTTTAGGGTCTATAAAACCTTCTGGCTGCTCCATGTACAGATCTTCCTGGATCTCACTGTGAAGAAATGCTGTTTTTAAATCTAGATGTTTGACCTGCATCTTCTTGGACTCGGCTATGCTCAAAAGTAATCTGATTGTACTATGTTTCACCACTATTGCAAAGGTTTAATCAAACTCCTGACTATATTTTTGTGAGAAACCTTTAGCAACTAATTTTGCTTTGCAGTGTTCCACATTTCCACCTGCATTTTGTTTGACCTTAAATACACACTTGCATCCAATAAGGTTCTTTCTTGGTGGTGGCATCATCAAGGTCCATGTTTTATTTTTGTGTAGAGCATCAGTCTCCTCTTGCGCTGCCTTCTTCCACCTACCGGCTTTGGCTTCTAGCATCTCTTCTACTTCCTTCCATGTAGAAGGTTCACACAGTAACACTGACCTTACAAGGTAGGACAGGTACAAGGCTGGTGTGCCATTGTTTGGTTATGATGAGTATCAGAGGTGTGGTCCTGGATTTTCATCAGCTGTCCAGTTCACCTGTCTTCTCATTCTCACTTGCTTCCTCTTCCTGTGTTGTACTGCTCTGAATCTCTGGCATGATTGCTTTGGAATCTGCCTTCTCAAGTTATGTGTCTTGTTCTGATGTTTCATCATTATGTGCTGGTTCAAGGTCCAAGAGTTGGTACTCATCATCTGCCTCTTCTGAGTCACATGATGCAGTCCCTTCTCTACTGGCTCTGCTTTCGTCAAAGTGAATCATATGCCTGACATAGACTTCACCTGGGTCTAGCACTTCCAGAATCATATCCCACAAAAACACTTTCTTGGTTCTGGGATCTAGTTTTTGCCTTTTCACCTTGGGTTCAAATGCAAACGCCTTGCTGCCAAGTACTCTAATGTGTCCCATGTTTGGCACCTTGCTGTGCCATATTTGATAAGGTGTTTGTTCATGTGCTCCCTTTTGTGGGTAGTCTGTTCTGGAGACAGTTTGCAGTCAGGATTGCTTTGCCCCACCATTTATCAGGTAGGCCTGCATCCATGAGCATGCATTTGCTCATCTCCAGTAGTACCTCGGTTTCCTTTCAGCAGTGCCATTCTGCTCAGGCTTAAAGCTCACGAACTTCCTGTGCAGGATGTTTTCCTCTGCCAAGATGGTTTGTATGTGTGATGTGAGATAAACTCACCACCATTATCCATCTGTAGCATTTGAGGCTTTCTTCCAAACTTGTTAGAAACCATAGTGATGTATCTCTTGAGGAATTTGAGAACTTCACTTTTTTGCCTCAGCACTATTTCCACCATTTGATGTTACAAGTACTGGTCCAAGGACATCACTATGAATTAATTCTAATGGTTTGCTAGTACGTTTCTCAGTTCTGGGTGAAAATGAGGGACTAACTCCTTTTGCTCTTATACAACACACAAATTTGCTTATGCCATTGATGTCACATGTAGGGATGTGCATTCGTCTTTGCCAAATTGAAAAAATACCTTATCAATATTTTTCAGGTATTTGTTAAACCAAATCAGATTTTCTAATCTGATTCGGCTGGCTGATAAAGTGCTCCCGAATAAAAGCCGATCTCATTCGGGATTATCAATATTTTTCAGGTATTTGTTAAGGCAAATCTGATTTTCTAATCTGATTTGGCTGGCTGATAAAGTGCTCCCGAATAAAAGCCAATCTTATTCAGCTTTTATTTGGCCAAGTCAGGTAGGGAAGGCTTCAGTTTCAGTGAAACTGACCAGCTCTGCCTTCCCTTCCTTTCCCTGGGCAAGCCACCCCTTGGAGGGAAGACAGTTTAAACTGCCTTCCCTTGGTTTGCTCATGTGCACCGCAGCTGCAAGACACCTAGGCAAGCTAAACTGGGGAGGCAGGCAGGTTGGGGAGGGGGTGGCATTTAAACATGCCTCCCCTCCCCCCGCCTTTCCTTCCTCAGCTGCTCAGCTGCTTCTACTGGTCAATTTCATTCCTCTGCTGATTAGCAGGGAGTGAAACTGACCAGAAGTTGAGCCTGGGGAAGGAAAGGCTTCAGTGCCATTATACTCTATGGGGACTTTCCCCGTAGGGTGTAATGGTGCCAAATATATTAGGCAGTACCAATTTTTCCCAAACCCCAGTATCTTACCGATATTTGGATTTGGGAATATCAGTATATACCGATATTTTTGGGCTTGGTTTACCCAAACCCGAAAAATACTGATTTTTTTTTTAATGCACACTCCTAGTCACATGGCTTTACCTTAACACCTCCGAGACGCTCTTGTTCTGAAGGTCTAGGATTACCTTTGGATTATAATGTCCTAGGCAACTGTGCCACAGTTCCAGACTATCTTCATCTTTCCTCTCATGTGCCAGGTAGTTCACCTGCAAGACTCAGTTCTTATACTTTCCCCTTTTGGTTACTTTGTGCATATACAACATTGTCTTTGCTAACAGTACATTTCTTATTTCCAAAATATATGTTATCTAATGCAGACACACTCAATAAATTACAGCTTGATTCAGGTACACACAGGACATCCCCAACTTCATACAGAACATTTTTGTGAGGTGTGCTACAGCATAAAGTGCCAGTATCTCTATGCCTTGAATCTGTATGGATTCACCATTAGCCATTTTTATTTCTCCATTCCCACTTTCATTAAATTCAGCAAAGAAATCTTTGCAGTGTGCCTGTGACTAGATGCTCCACTGTCTATTAGCCACTTACTCTCTTTTGATTCTGATTCGGCATATCATAGTCTTTTCTGGTCAATTAGTAAAAGCCTTTTTCCTTTATATGCTGCATTAGGAGCATTATGCTTTTGATTTTTAAGATTGCCTCTCTGTTTGTAGACTATGTACTGTTCCTGTGCATCTTAGGAGGGGAAAAAATGAGCTGTTGGAATTTGTTGGAATTAAAGCAATGCAGCAATTGGTTTTTCTCCTTTCCTCTGTTGGGACTTGCTCTTTCAAGGTCTTTCTAGAAATGTAACTTGAGCCATTCAGTGATTCAAATTCAATAAGTTGTTTTAAGCATTCCTCCTGCAATTCGTTTAGTGCCTGATTGAAAGCATCTGCATCCTTCTTTTGGCTTTGACTCTGCACACTCACAAATGCAGAAAATCTTCCTCTAAAGTCTCAAAGCATAAAATTTGCCTTTTTTTCATCAGTTAAAGCCACAGATAGTTATATTTTCAAACATCTGCCTCAGTTCAGATGTATATTTTTCACAATTTTCCATGTTATGTAACCTTGTTTTGCAAAATTGTTAATCCATTTTCCTTGTGGTTTAATACTAGCAAACCCAAAATACTCTTCTAGGCTCTTAAGCATTTCTTTTTCTGTCTGGGAATTTTCAATCATGAAAGTCTCACTGTCATCCAATGATTCTTGGCCATCGTATTTTTGATTATCCAAGATTCCTAGCCTTTCTCTGTTGGTTTTTTTCCTCTAGGATTTCAGCAGCTCCTTTTGCTTCAAGGAGTAAATGAAATCTTTTAAACTGGGTTCTATAGTTTTCAGCAGTAAGTTTTGGTATCTCCAAATATCTACTTGATCCTTACCACAACAATGTGAAGAAGAACAATGGAGAATTTTTAAAGATTAAAAAAATAACAAGGGGCTCTGTTCATCAAAAATTTTATTTTAAAATGTAACCTAAGCTTCTGATAGATTTTGGGCTCATAACCTCTTCGGTTAAATGTAAATTCCCCCCCCCCAATATTTCCCAGTTTAGGGGGAAATGCTATTCAAACAAATTCCAAAGATGATCTCACTTCAGTGGTAACAAGAGAAAGAAATTTTAGAAAAATTGAAGCACATCTTACATGACATAGTGATGTAGGTATATTTAACTTATTGTGAACAGATTAACTTCAAAAAGGTTAACTTGCTACAGCTCCAAGCCCAGGTAAGAGAGAGGAGAAGAGAGGTCCTATATAAGATGAAACAGAAGGCAAGCAACAGCCAAAGAACTCAACATCTACAGGAATTTCAGACCGCCCTTTATATTCCGTTTCAGGAACTGTTCACTAACGGTTTCTGTCTGTCATTTCATTTTTACCCTTTATTCAGAAACACTTCTGTCCCATTCGGGAACTACAAACTGTTTCCAACTGGTCTTTAATTCCTTCTACCACTTCTGAAGTGCTATGGGGTGCTGTGTAAAATGCCCCTGTAGCACTTGCTGCGATGACAGTTCTTTTCACGCCCTTTTTCTCCCTGCATGTGATCGTCCTTTTTAAAAAAATGTTCTATTGGGAGCACTATGGTGCTGCAGCAGGACTACAAATCAGTGCCATAGCGACCCCATTGAGATCCCTGGACTCCATTTAAATACACTGATGTTCACTACTTCATCTCAGCATGGATTTTAAAAGGTAGTTTCGGGGCAGACATTGTATTTATCATGTCAGTTTAAAGATTAAATCACTGAAAATAGCAATAAGCACAAACATACCAGCACAGTATGAAAAAGGAGGAGAAGGTGGGGCTCTACTAGCACAAAATATACCAGCACAACATGAAAGAAGGAGGAGAAGGTGGGGCTCTACTAGTTTGGGCTTTGATGAATTAAAAAGCACCAGAATAGCCTGCTAGCTGGGTTTCTCAAAACTGTGCGGTCACACACACACACACACACACCCGCGTGCTTGAATTCTGTATCCAGTGAGTTCATTGTCTCCAGGGGACAGCAGTAGTGAACATCGGTGTATCTAAATGGAGTCCAGGTATCTCAATGGGGTCGCTATGGTGCTGATTGGTAGTCCTGATTCAACACCATGGTGTTCCTAAGAGAATTAAAAAAAAAAAAAACCCTGTCAGGGAGGGGGGAAATGGCGGGAAAAGAAAGCGGCGCAGTTTGAAATGACAAACCGCTTCAGAGATGGCTCCTTACCGAAAGGGAAAGGCTGTGTGAAACAGCTGTCCCTGTACCGGTTTAATCCATGATGGTACAATAACGGTTTTGTGAACTGGCTACTAATCAATGAGACGGTGAGGCCAACAGCCAAGGGTACACGAGTGAGAGAATTCTTTTAACCCTTTCTCTCCCAGATCCTCTTGTACACAGAGTTACAATATCCAACATTTCTTTCCCTGAGACACACAAACCATAGGGTTAAACAAACAAAGAGTTAACTTTTACCTATGGTTTGTACACTGCTCAACTGCCCTCTTAA